CACGCACACTCAAACACACACACACAGCCCAACACACACGTTTGTTTGTGGCTAATTGTAAATCGTTATTATGAATAAATTAAGAGACCTCTCCGTGACCTTCATCTCTATAAATGTGTCGATGTCCCATATTTGTATGCAAGGTGTTTGTACCTGTGTGCGTGCGTGTGTGTGTGCATTTTTTGTACGTGAATGTACATATTTATATGTATTTTTATGAATGCCAATACCGTAACTGGTAAAATATTTTTACTTTCTGTTAATTGTTTTGTTGTTAGTTTATGCGTGTAGAGTTTACAAACCGTTCGCAAATTTAACAACAATAAAACTTAAGATAATGGAATAATTGATTAATATGATAATATATCAATTAAATGAAAAAATAATGAACCAATTGATTGATATGACAATGGATTAATTAATTGATAAGATAATTGGATGATTGATTGTTCTTTGGATGTGGTCAGTTGCGGATAAAATGAATGGAGTTGATTGCCCGTGCACGGATGGATAGTGCAAGAAGAGATAAACCGGACATGTGATTGTTTTACGAGTACGTGGACAAATGAATTGTTGGAAGAATGAATGGAAATACTAATGCATGCATGGAAAGATGGATGCAAGCATGGATGCATGTATGGATGAATAGACAGATAAACAGATGAATGAATAGATGAAAAAAAACTAGATGAACAAATGAACAAAGAAAAGCATTTATTTTTAATAACATGTCACACACGTGTTAGATTTAAGTCTTGATAAAATAACTTAAATTCAAAAGTCTTCAATAATTTTTTAAACTGTAAAATGCAATTAGATTCATAGAAAACCAAAAAATTCATATTATTATAGTTATTGTTAATAATATTATTATTATTTTTATTATTCAACGTAGTGTTGAGATTTTGTAGTGTTGAGATTTCATTGAACATATCTTGGCACGATAATTCCTTGGCTCAAGAGAAATCTTCTTATTAATTTTTTCACCTTGTCTGTAATTAAGTGTAAATGGGAATGTTTTAACCGTGGTATGTTTTAATAAAATTCTATTTACTTTTTTATTTTTTCTGTTAAATCCGATGTCTAGCGGATTAAAATTTAGAATTTTTGATAAACTGTAAACTACGTAGAAATATTTTTATTAATTAAACCTTTAAATATCAAATAACCATGTATGTAGAAACAGCGTTTAACACCTATTGAATTAAAACAAGAATTTAATACAAGCAACCTATTGCATGTATTTACGACTGTGTGGTAAGGTGTTTTGGTAAGTAAGCATGTACATTACACATGTGTTTATCATAATAATATATATATATATATATATAATTATATATAGACCTAATCACACCGTCATATATGACTGTGTATGTGTTTTTGTGTATGTGTTTTTGTATGTGTTCGAGTGTGTGTGCCTTTTTTGAATAAATTTTTGTGTTTATACACCTATTTTAGTATGCACGTAGCAACAAATACTCTGAAATAAGATGCACATGGTGCCATACATTGCACCATCACATCAAAAGGAGTCTGTTCGTTCAGCTTTGAGTGACATGCAAAATTGTGATTTAGTGATTAACTCCCTTAAGATTTGTGTGTGTGTATGTGCTCTCGTGTGTGTGTATTTGATTGTGTATGTATTTGCATGTGTGTGTTTCTATGTGTGCGTGATGATTTCATAACAACATCCTTAATAAAAATAGTAATTTATATTTTCGAAGACTACAGTTACAGGTTTTATTGTTAAAGAATATATTTTGTTATTGATGTCGTTGTTGTTGTCGTTGTTGTTGTTGTCATTGTTGTTGTTATTGCTGTTCTTGTTTTTACTGACGTTGATGTTACTTATTTTGTTGTTGTTCAGGATGTTGTTGTTTTGATTTTAGAATTAAATTGTTGCTGACAAATGAAGGCACTAACGATCACTGAAATATTCGCCGTAATTATATAATGATAACGCAAATGATGACGCAAATGATGACAAAATGATAAGGTAGAAGATGACGTAAAGGATGACGATGACGTAAATAATGATGAAGTAAATAATGATGACTTGGACGATGACGTAGATGATGATGACGTAGATGATGGATGGAAGGAACAAGATAATGAGACCTACACAGACTTGCTCCAAATTGCGTAACCAGCTATTATTTTCAGACAAAAAAGTATTTCTTTAATTTTTTTCCAACTTTTTTAAAATGGAAATAAATTTATCTAGGAGAATTAAATAATTGAAATTGGTGCGTCTGTGTGCTTGTGCGTGCGTGTGCGTGCGTGTGCGTGCGTGTGCGTGCGTTTGTGTGTGTCTGTGTACGTATGCATGAACGCATATACACGTATTTATGTACGTAACGTAACGTACGTATGTATGTATTCGAAACAAATTCTTTCATTTAGTTGCATATATACTAAGAAACAAATCTTCAGCTGAATTCCCCAACGATGATGATGATAATGATGATCACTATCCTCTAAATCGACATTCGCTCAATGTTCATCGCTCCGTACATAAACTAAATGCTTACTTAGTTGGTCAGTTGGTCGATTGGCTGGCAGCTTGGTTGGCTGGTTGGTCGGTCGGTCGGTTGGTTGGTTGGTTGGTTGGTTGGTTGGCTTGTGGTTGGTTGGCTGGTTGTTTGGTTGATCAAATAGTTGGATAATTTTTATGCGTTCATTTTTGTTTTTGTTTATGTTTTTTCAAAATGCTGTTCGTTCATGCTGTTGTTTTTGTCGTTATGTTGTGTCTTGTTTACATTTCGTACCGCGATTTCATAATTTATAACGTCGTTCATATTGTTTGATATTATTGTTTTTGCGTTTTGCTTTCGTTCTGATTTTAATTCTTTATAGATTTTTCTGTTTGAAAAATGGTTCAAAATTTAACATTAACAATTGAAAATTAGATGCAACAGGTCAATTTTGTATGAAAGGCATTGTATAGGGCATTATATCAGCGTTATATCCATGCATAACAATATTTAAACTAAAAAATAAATAAATAATTAAGCAAATAAAATAAAATAGATAAAAACAATTTCAGCAAATAAATATAAAGCTGATTAGTAGTAAGAAGATTTACAAACAATCTCCACAGATTTATACAGAGTGTTTGAAGTGCTTCATCGCTTACATACACCACGCTCTATTACTTTTATGTTACATCTGTGCTAGGCGCGATATGTGTTTGTCTGTTTGTTCGTTCGTTCGTTTGTTCGTTTGTTCGTTCGTTGGTTGGTTTATTTATATGTTTGTTTGTTTGTTTTTATTTCGTTCAATATTTTGCTTGTTTGTTTGTTTGCTAACTTTTTCTCTGTTATTTTTTTTTCTTATAAACAAAATCCTACCTTGGTAGCGTCTCTGTTTAAATTTTTTAAATTTGAGTATGAACAAATTTCTCTAAATTTGAAATCGTCTGTAACAACTTTCTTTCTATTCCTTGCAAGCATATTTTAAAACTCAATAAATATAAAACGTGAATTATAATATAAAATTGAAAAGTACAAAAAAGAGAGAAAGAGAATGTGAGAGAATGAGAGAGAGAATGTGAGAGAGGGGGGGAGGGGGGTAAAACTTTTCATTGGTCCGTATGGAAACTGAAGCAATTTTCATCATGTCAATCATGTCATTGAAGGTAGTTAACTGCAAGACCCCAGTTGAATATCTCACAGCAACAACTACAACAGACAGACAGAACAACGAACACATGTTGTTGCTACATTCCACTCCTCTTCCTTATCATGCATGCACTTTGATTATGTCACACATTCAATGTCCTCTTGTGTGCGTGTCTCTTTTGTTGCCTGGATCTGTGCTATCTGTCTAGCTCTAGTTGTAAATACAATATAACAGACACAATATAAGACATCCGTTGTTCACACAGTGCGGGTATTATAAGGTATTTTGGGGTATTTCGTTTGCATTTGATACCAGCATATATATTTATCTATACATTTATAATTGAATTAATTTGTGAATGAATAAATGTGGATGGTTTTTGTCACTCCACTTGAAACGACAGGCAGTCGTGATGAAGGTTGGATTTCCATCTATTTGACATCCTAATTTCGCCCAGTTTAATTAATTAAACATAAATATTTAAAAAGAAACAATGGGATAACATTGAAATGAAGCTATCAGCATAAAACATCGGTTATAGAAAATTGGATACGAACACATCACGTGACACCACGCGCGCGCGCGCAAACTCGTCACGTGTTCGCGAATGTTTCCATGGCGACAAATTATTTTTTGGAAGATGGCGGTAAATTGTGTTTGAAATTAGTTGTTAGGCATGAACTGCTGCATGATTAAATAGGCTGGAGAAAGGGAAAATGTGTGTGCGTGTGTGTGCGTGTGTGTGCGTGAGAGAGGGGGGGGGGAGGGGGAAGGGACGAGAAAAGAAAAAGAAAAGAGAGAACAAGAATGATGAGAATGAGAATAAAGTAAAGTAAACAGAGCAAAAGGAAAAAACAAGAGAAAGCGTGAGAAAGAGAGAAAGAGAGAGAGTGAGTGAGAGTAAAGTTAAAAGTTGTTTTACTATATTTTAATTTTTCAAAAATATTTATCATTCAGTATATTTATTACATTTCTTTTTTTATTTGTCCTAAATGCACTAACGGTTTCATGTAGGTAGGTAGGTAGGTAGGTAGGTAGGTAGGTAGGTAGGTAAGTAGGTAAGTAGGTAGGTAGGTAGGTAGGGAGGTAGGTAGGTAGGTAGGTAGGGAGGTAGGGAGGTAGGTAGGTAGGTAGGTAGGTAGGTAGGTAGGGAGGTAGGTAGGTAGGTAGGTAGGTAAATATTTCTATACATTTCAAACACTTTCAGAATGATGAACAAAAGTATTAACATTTGCTGGTATGTAATTATTTTAAAAATATTCTAAGAAATCGAAAGCCAACATCACATTAAACAACATGTTTTTCATATTTCTATCAAATTTTAAATGTAAATAAAATAATTACTAACATTTTGAAACCTTTCAAATTATACATCTTCCATGCCCGCAGTTCTCAGCATCCGCGGTCCACAAGACGACGAGCCGCAAGATCCCCAGCTGATGCGACTGGACAACATGTTGATAGCTGAGGGGGTGGCTGGTCCTGAAAAATCGAGGGACCCAAGAGTAGCAGACACGATGAACCAGGCGGCCTACTCGGGTAGTGGTGGTGGTGCCTCCCCAGAAAACGCCATCGAACATTCTGACTACAGAGCCAAACTGGCTCAGATTAGGCAGATATATCATACGGAGCTGGAGAAGTATGAACAGGTCTGTTCAACGGTTGTTCTTGTGTGTGCGTGTGTATATGTGTGTGTGTGGTGTGTGTGTGTGTGGTGTGTGTGTGTGTACGTTGTTTTTGTGCGTGCGTTTAAGTGCAGAGTACAGTACATACTTATTAATATTTATGTGTCTACTTGTTCACTTATTTACATTCATAAATTGCTTACACTCAGAGCCTTACATTAATATAATTTTATTTTGATAGAATTCCTATCAGTTTATTTTAAGTTCAGACTGTAAATTTTTTAAACGTTTATAAATGGCGTCTTTAATTGCGCTGCAGCAAATGAGGAGTTCGAGAGAGGAAGAAACACTTGAAGAGATACTTGAAATGTTTGCAAATAAGTCACAAGTTGTCTCATTCATTCGCAATTATCACCTCTTAAGTATTTACATGCATGGCTCAGTTCAATTCCAAACAGCTTTCCGTACTATTCAATAATGTGATACTGTGATACATTTACCGTAACACCACAACATCCAGCCCGTGCAAGTAGATATACAGAGACAAAAAGCACCTCACAACACAGGCGCATATTTACATACCATAATAATTTGTTTTCGTAATGTTTAGTAGAGTGATTCTTTATTTTTGTGTTTCAAAAAATTTTCATTTTGGGTTTTAAAAAAAGGGTTAACATTTCTACCAATCAAACAAGTTATCGCCAACAACCAATCAATCTATCAATCGGTCTACCATTCTTCAATCTAAATAATCCATTTGTTTATGCTATACACCAAAACACACACTCACTCACAGAAACCCCGCGCACGCACACAATTAAACACACACACACATCCTCACAAAAACAAGCACACTCACACACATCCACAAATAAACAACCGCACACACACACATCCACACGTAAACAGCCACAAACATATTTAGGCACACACAGCCACACACACAGATTTAGACACAGACACATCCATACATAAACAGCCATAAACAACCACACCATCAGGCCTGCTCGGAATTCACATCTCACGTGGTGAACTTGTTGAAGGAGCAGAGTAGGACGAGGCCGATAGCGGCTAAGGAGATTGACCGGATGGTGACCATCATCAGGAGGAAGTTCACCGCCATCGAGCTGCAGCTGAAGCAAAGCACGTGTGAGGCCGTCATGATCCTCAGATCCAGATTCCTCGATGCCAGGTCGGTTGCTCGGAAGAAATTTTGGAGTTGAATCGATGTATAAGAAGAAGGAAGAAAGAGAGAGAGAGAGAGAAAGAAAAAGAGAGAGAGAGAACGAAGCGAAAAATGAGAAGATTTCAAAATAAAAAAGAGAGAAAAAAGGGCAGGCGAGAAACCAAAAAAGAAGAAAAGAGAAAGCGAATGAGCATAAAAAAGGAGAAGATGAATGGATATAGAAAGAAAGAGAGAGAGAGAGAGAAAGAGAGAGAGAGAGAGAGAGAAAAAAAAAGCAAGAAAGATGGAAAAAGAGAAAAAGAGGAAATGGTAGGAAATGTTTGATAGAAGAAAGAGAGTGTGATTGGTTTTTATAATTCTTATTTGTTTGTTTTTGTTTTGTTGAAAGTAGATGAAATTGTTTGCATTGCGATAATTGTATTATTTGTGGTTTACTTGCATGTATAATATGAGAGTATGATGTTGTGTGTGTGTGTGTGTGTGTGTGTGTGTGTGTGTGTGTGTGTGTGTGTGTGTGTGTGTGTGTGTGTGTGGGTAAGGAGAAAAAGAAAATGATTTTATATGTGAGACCGAGTTGGTTTGCGTGTGTATGATTTTTTTGAAAGTTTCCACAAGCGATACATTAAAAAAACCTCAGGAGGAAAAGACGAAACTTCAGCAAGCAGGCAACAGAAATCTTGAACGAGTACTTCTACTCGCACCTGAGCAATCCCTACCCAAGCGAGGAGGCCAAGGAAGAACTGGCCAAAAAGTGCAACATCACCGTTTCTCAAGTTTTCAACACTTCCATCTTTCTCATTGATCAATTAAAAAATAATCTTTCTCATTAATTAATTAAAAAATAATTTTTTTTCATTAATTAATTAAAGTTTTTTCATAATTTTCAAATCGATTTCAAGGTTGAAATTTTATTTCAACCTTGGCACATTTTTCAAATGTGGATAAATAATGCCAGTGCCTGCTAAAGCAAACGAATCAGATGCAATATTAATATCATTACGCACACGCTCACGCATCTTCGGAGCAAACAAAACATCAGACACTAAATAATAATGAAAGTATAAATGCGAACAATGAAAAGTCATAAATAGAGCAATAAAACAATCATAAAGATGTATTGTACCGATGACAATACTTACACATGTCATCTCTGTGTGTGGCGAACGATGATCAAACATGAAAATTCAGAAAAATTCAAACAGATATTAACATTTTAAATTAAAAAAAATGATATTTAACCCAAGATAATAATATTTCTTTGTGAATGTTACATCCAATCCAACGTTAACGGATCTTGTAATGACTTGCTAAATAGGTAGCTAACTGGTTCGGAAACAAACGCATTCGTTTCAAGAAGAACATAAATAAAGGCCAAGAAGAGGCAAATGTATATTCGTCTCGTTTGAACTCAGGCTCAGAAATGAGGTCAGATTCACCAGGTCAATTGTCCCCATCTTCATGCTCGTCAAAAATTGATTCAGCAGCCGAATGTATGTAGTCAATTTTTTTGAATATTTTTGTGTTGTGTTGTTTTTCTTTTTTTGTGCTTCTGTTGCTGTTGCAGTTTTACATTCGACAATGTTGTTTGTTGCTTTTGTTATTTTATTATTTCAGATAACATGTTCAGTGAATTTTTATTTTCAAGGCATGCTGCATGAAATCACGCTGAAACAAACGAGTCACAATAAAAACCAATAAACACACATTCGATTGCCAGCGAAAAAATTCACACCCTTGCAAGACACGTTCCCAAATTTATTCGCTTTACATAAAAAAAACTGCAGTTTTTTCCGAATAACAACAATAACAAACGACGTAACGTAATGACGGTAACGTTAATGTTATAATGTTATGACATGAACATCGTCGAACCCTAGCAGCCAGCATTCCATACAACGCCATGTCATCCCGCCTTGCAAGCAGCAGCAGCAGCATGTACCAGCAGCACATGAGTAGTGCTCCCATCATTGGGCCCGCTGGATACCCCGGAATCAATTTGATGAAGGATCACTGTTCTGCTGTTCGTTCTATACTGATATATTTTGCCGTAATCTTTCAAGAACTTATTTTGTTTGTTATAATTGATCCAAAACTTGCATCTTAACACGTTTTTATGTTTATACAAAATAAAATACTTATTGATATTTTAGTTTGAAACATCATTAATCATGTTTTCAAATAATCAGTTGAACCTGTTTATTTTCTGAGCCTGATTATTTTCATTCAAGTTAAATAAACACCAACAAAGCAGGGTATGTATCCGGGTGAAGTCATGCCAAGTTCCACCACGTCACTTTCCATGTATGAATCTCATCTACAGCAGGTTGTATATGCGTGTGAGTGTACGTGTGTGTGTGTACATGTACGTGTTTCGCGGTGTGTATTAGTGTGTATGTGAGTACGTGCGTGTGCGTGCTAATCAACTTACAATCATTAAAACTCTGTAAACCCATTTCGTAAATAATTAGTTCACGCAATAGAGGTGCCGTACCTGGCGTTGTTATTGCGCACTGACTTGCTTCAAATGGTGCCTGTGCAAAAATCAGACTCTGATCGCATACGCTCCATGTACGTACGAGCATTTGAAAATATTGTTCAATCAGTGGAAAAGTTTGAAGATAGTGAATTTTTATGAATTTCATCAACAGTGAAGAAGAAAACAACAACAGATACGAAATTCCTCCATGTCGACAATCACATCCACATAACTGAGCAATTGTAAAAATAATTGTTATTATAAAATAATAATAATAATATATAACTAATAATAATAATAGTAATAATTATAATTTTATTATATTGAATGATAAAAATCAGCAGAAATAATGAAATTAGGTAAATGGTAATTCCTAATTATTCAGAGTCATCGTAATGCGTATCTACATCATTTATAATTAATTAATTATTTCTAAAGATTTTTTATTTAATGAAAATACCCAAATTTAAGATGAATTTATGTTTGCAGCTATTTGCAATTTAAAAATAAGTTTTCAATATTCTGTTGTATTAATTTGTTTGTTTATTTTTTCATTCTTTCGTTCACCTATTCATGTTTTCAATCGTTTAATTCAGGGGTGGGCAAACTTTTTGCCGTGAGGGCCGCATTAAGAACTATTTTAACTTTGAAGGGTTGCATAAGTACTTAAATAGCAAATTTTTTCGACCCGGGGAGAATTTTTTAAGATTTGTGGCTTCTTTTTTTGGTCATAATGTTTGGCTGATGACCTTTTTGGCGAACAAGACCTCGCGGGCTATAGTTTGCCCACCCCTGGTTTAATTAATTCATTTATTCATTCAATCATTGTTTCATTAATTTAACTAATTAAGTTATAATTAATTATTCTATTATTACTTCAATTATTTAGAATAATAAACATTTACACAAAATTTAATAAATTTTCTAGAAATTAAAATGTAATTTTTCTCAATCTCGTCAGTTGAATGAAATGAACATTTAATTAATATAAATTAATTAATTTTCATTAAATATTGCTGATATAAATGTTATTATAAAATTAATTAATTTCAATTAAATGTTGCCAATTACCCTCATTAGTTCTATGGTTTGGAAAATTTTAATGAATAAAAATTTGAAAATTAGTCAGTGGCATAGCAGGGGGGGTTGGGGTGGACAAACCTGGGTGGGTGGGCTAATTCTCGCGGTGCCATTTCAAGTACTTCAAAATACAAAAATACTATATTAACAATTTGTAAATTGAAATTAAATTTAAAAAACTTTATGTGGAAATAAATTGGTGTACATGGTGCCGAAATTTATAAATTTTAGTCGGGGGCTACAAGTGGGTGTTAGCCCAGGGCAAATTTTATGGTCCCTACGCCAGGGTTTTGAAAGGACAATGTATGTATTAAATATAATTACTGTATTTTATTATTGTTTTGTTGCTACTGAATGTCATAATTATTATTATAAATAACTATTATATTGTGATTAAGCATTATTACTATCCTTATTTTTGATATTATATTAGTATTGTTGTTATTGACTATTATTGTTAAAATTTCTAGCCTAATACAGTTCATGTACATAATAAAACTAACTATGTAACGTAATCGCCAATCTATCTGTCATGTGTATATTCATTCGATTTCTAACTAAATAGATTATGTGTGTTGTGTGTGTGTTTTTGTGTGCGTGTGTTGTGTGTGGCAATTGTGGGTATGTATGTCTGCTTATGTACCAATGTATAAAACAGTCAACTAAACAACATTGTAATCCTTTATATTGTGCTTTCAGTTTAACGGACATTCAGTATATAATGATAATTGTTTATATGTTATGGTAATCTTTTTAAACTATTTCAAATAAATTAAAAAAATCCATTTTGTTAGCCATGCTTGTAAAATCTTTATCTTATCTTGGGTAGTTGAATCGATGAATGTAAACCGTTGGAAAAATGGTAAACCCACCAGCAGAAAATCGTATCTTACCATCTACTTTCACACGTGTAATGCTCATTCTCACTTATTTATAAACCAGAATCAGCACTTTAGCAAATTTATTTTGTCGACACAAAAAAAACAAATCTCTAAGAAATTGAAATATCAACTACCAATCCTAATATTTTTCCTGAAAGGGTCAATTCCGTGATTTTGTTGCATCCTTCTCCAAGTGAACCTCGTGAACGGAAACGGATGGGTCTTGAACGGAAACGGATGGGTCTTGGAATCGGCTGCGAACATTCGAGCTATGCAAAAGTAGTCACCAAAGATGGAGTAGAAAGTCCCAAAGAAATGAAAACAAAAACAGCAAAACCAAAAACCAAAAAAAAAAGACTTAACGTAGGAAAAACTAAGAAAGAGTGGCTCTTAACCACCAAGTGGCACATAAAACCATACAAAACAATCATTATTACTATTATCACTTATTGTTTTCAAGTTTTTTTTTTTTTATTAAAAAAGTCAATTGAAAACAAGTACACCTTTACTAATAAAAACTTCAATAAAAAATTAAATGCAAATTAACATCTATCAATGTTGCATCTCAGTAAAAGTGTGTAAAAATGAGATTATGCATTTTTAAATAAATAGTACATGCGTATATATATATATATATATATATATATATAAGTGTGTGTTTGTGTGTTTGTGTGTGTGTTTGTGTGTGTGTGCGTGTGTGTGTGCGTGTGTATGTGGTGTGTTTAAAAGATAAAAATTAGTGAAATTAGTGTACAATAAAATGCAAATGCAATACTAAGCGGAATGACAGATCGAAAAATCTTGGGTGAAGAAAGAAAAAGAAAAACAACTCAAGCATTGGGATTAAAACTATTGGAAAATTATTTAAATAGGTAAACGTCATTTTTAATAAATGAATGAATGGACGAACAAACGAATGAATGAATGAGTGATCGAGCGAGCGAACGAACGAGCGAACTACCCAATGAATGAATGAATGAATGAATGAATGAATGAATGAATGAATGAATGAATGAATGAATGAATGAATGAATGAATGAATGAATGAATGAATGAATGAATGAATGAATGAATGAATGAATGAATGAATGAATGAATGAATGAATGAATGAATGAATGAATGAATGAATGAATGAATGAATGAATGAATGAATGAATGAATGAATGAATGAATGAATGAATGAATGAATGAATGAACAAACTCACAATTGAAAAAATAAATAAATGAATATATACATATAAAACTATTTTTAGATCATACATGGTACACCAGTGGCAAGTTATTAACTTTATTTAGTGCGTGTGTTTGTGTGTGTGTGTGTTTGTGTGTGTGTGTGTGTGAAATTTTAAATGTGAAGTTCTAAATGCGTGATAATAAGATAGTAGCAAACAAATAATGACAACTATTATTATATAAATTGTTGAAAATAATAACAATAATAATAATAAAAATAATAATAATAATAACTATTATTATTATTATCTAAGGTAGGAAGAAGTAATGAGCAACCACAACGACGATAATGTACATTGTTTTCTGAATAAGTATAAGAATAACTAATGATAATAATTATTAATGATATTAAAATTATTACTATTATTATTTGCGGTACATGACATAATTATTATAT